GGGAATGTCATCTTTCCTGTCTTAGTACCCGGTGAACTTACGTAAAGCATAGTTTCATGCTGTCAGATGGAAAATTTAAGCCCATCATGCATTGAGTGAGGTTGCAATACGGACTTCTTGATACATTCCCCAGTCATGGCTCCTTCAGCTTCAAATGAGGCAAAGAAATGGAATGTACATTAGTTTTCCTATTTATATTGAACCAATCAAACCCACCGTGTGTAGGCTCTAAGAATCAGATTGACTTTAGAAAGACTAGTAAATTGATTCACCTGAAACATTACCTTGTATTTTGACTTTTTCGATTCATACCTTGCCTTTTAGTACAGTTCTTTGTGCTTTTATGACCTCTAATAAGAACACTAATAAGCTGATATCACTTAAGGTGATGTAATGAGCTACAGTTGCCAAAACGTCCTATGATTACATTGAATTACACCTAGCAGTGTCTCAAGAAAGAGCCTACGCTTTAGTTACGCCCTCATCCTGGTTTCATCAGCACGCCTAACGGTATCAGAAACATTGTTGTGCGAAATTAGCGGTCCCATGTTCCCTTTGGATCAAAAGGATGCAGTTCAACTGATCCGAGTCTCTCTTAATTCGCCTAACTGTTGTTGTCACAGCGAAAGATGTTGACTCGAGTTGATATCTTAGGCAACTTGATAGTCTCAAAATCTACTTAATACATTTATTTTAAAAAGTTCAGCCTCATGTAAAAGGCAACATTCATTTACCCTACCTCGCCAGACCGTCTTGCTGCTTCATACATTATGGATTTCAACAATCAAGTTGAGATATTTTCTAAGAATTAAGAAGTATATAATTGTTGTTCTTGCTAATCCCTTTAGCACATCTAGCTTTCTTCAGTACGACTGTGACTGAAGCGTGCCAGATGGATTATTTAGCAAAATACATACACTAAGATTTGGAATAACTTTTTATTTTCACCGAATAATATAGTCTCTTTATATATCAGCAATGACGGACATTTGTTATTCGAAACGCCAATTATATGAAAAACTTTCTTCCTTTTCTGAAAATTCTGCTAGACATTGCCTGCATAAAAGGCGTTCAACCCAGAATTAAGGGTCAAATATAGGGCGAAATGACAGTGTTCGGAAGAAATCAAATGCTGGTACAATGTAGTTGGGATACAAATGGACCATGGTTAGGGAGGTTGGAGAAGGAAAGTAAGAGACATCATGTTAAGGTAAAGTAGGATTATAAATCTGCATATGATGGGGTGAAATGCAAATACGAGAACTGAACTAAATAAGGCATAGGAAGCCACCTTTAACCAATTCAAAGAGGGCAACTAGAATCTTGGTGGACCTTATATCCGAGCCGGCCATGGCCGAATTTTTAGCTGGAAATGGTTGTTTTTATTCTCCCACCGTCTTTCCTCCTAAATATAACTTCTCCTTATTGCACTAATCTTCCACATAAATCAAGGGTGATCTTTCTGCAATGTCAAAAGCCCGAAATGTTCGCTGAAGCCTGACCAGCCCAGAATGGCAATTTGCTTGATAAAATGCAGGATGTAGAGCTGATGATGCAGCCTCCAATTCGTAGGCAACAAGCACAGGATCGCTTGAAGAACTGGCAATAGAATCCATTACATCATTGGCGAAATGAGCGAAAGTTCCTTGTCTTGATTTGCCAAAATCGCCACCCTTGTGGCGGTTCCTTCTTCCGTTCCTGTCGAAGACCGTGGCTGACCAACAAAGTGGCCAGAATTCGATAAGCCTGGCAAATGGCCGTGTAGTCGGCCTGGGTCAATCCATAGACCTGATGCTGAAACGCCTCTATCGGATGGTTTCCCAGCTAGGCTGGAGAGCGCTAGACGGAAACAAAATGGTTGGCAAGCCCCAAACATGCAGATGAGTATGAATCGTAAGCCCATCAGACAGCTGGTCAAGATGGAGTACACAATGAACGAGGTCAAAACCAAAGTGCCACAAGTTGATGATCCTTGTGTTTCCAGGTTAAGAGTGGGCATCCGGAATACGCCGATGAAGAGGAGTAGGATAACGACCAAATAGAGCAGGCATAGGATCAAGCAGATGACCACCTGAAAAGAGAATGAAATCGTCGAGGCGAAAGAGGAATTTGGTATTTGTGCTGTAAAAAGTAATTCATGCTCGATGCAATCAAAGCACTCAGAAGTTAAACTCTTAACAGTTAAGCATGGAATATAAAATAAAATATGAAAAAATTGCATCCTTTGTAGGCAGGCAAGCAATTAACTAAGCCTATTTATAAACGAAAATGAGGATAGACAAGTGTCATTTTTAAAATTTTTCTAAATGACATTATTATATTTTTTAATCATCTCATATAG